TAGCCTTGTGATAGACATGTTTACTGTCACCCCTCAGACATTGTTAGTTGTGCTTTACTGAGCTGGAGGCAGGGAGACTGGGCGGGACAGGGCACAAGGCAACACTGTCAAACGCTAGCCAGTAGACAGTTCTTGGCAAGGACTCTTAAGTGTATGTGTCTGGTGGTTCCACATGGCTCCAGTATTGCTCTGCAGGCACGATGTGAGGGTCATATTGGCCCCTCCACAGCTGAAGTTGGAGTGGTCGTGAACTATAGGCCTGAGTTCAGGACCTGGCAAGCCTGGGTGGGCTGGAGTCAGTGAAAGTGGCTGGAATGGTAAGTTAGTGTCCTGATGTTGCTAGATGACAAAGCATTCTAGTGTAGTGGGGAGCTGTGGGCCTCTTCCCACAGCCCGGCTCCTGGCCGCCTGCTAGCTTATGCCCCGAAATAACAACACACAAATTATATTCATTTAAACACTGCTTGGCCCATTAGCTCTAGCCCTTACTGGCTAATTCTCATATCCCAATCAACCCATCTTTAATAAACTGTGTAGCACCGGTCTTACCTGGAAAGATTCAGCATGTCTGACCTGGTGGCTTGCTTCATCGTATCTGCCTCTGAGAGGAGCTGCATGGTTTCTGAGCTCACTTCCTCTTCCTCCCAGCATTCTGTTCTATTTACTCCGCCTCTCTAAATTCTGCCCTATCAGATGGACCCAGGCAGTTCGTTTATTGGCCAATGACCTTCCTCCATCATTCTAGGACCCTGTGACGTGAAATAGCATCCCTGACTCACTCACGCAGACGAGACAGGTTGCCTGTGGGTCAGCAGAACATGGCTGTCCTCTGATGGCTGGGCCCCATAGGATATGAGCATCTATTGTCAGCTGTCTGGGGTGTATGATCCTGGGGCTCGGGGGTGGGGAGGAGGAAGAAGTAGACAGGCTCACTTCTATGCCAGAGCACAGAAAGAGCATGTGGCCACTTCTGTGACAGTGCCTCTCTTATTGATGCCACAGAGTTGGATGGGGCAGCACACTTTCTGGAGGAGGTGGTATCTGGGCTGACATCTGCCTAGCTTGTAGGTCACAAGCTAGGGTACTGCTCCTCCTTCTATATCTGTTGAGAATGAAGTCTGAGGCAAGTAGCCCTTAAGTACAGAGATAGGATGAAGAATGCACAGCTACCCTTCTGTCACATTCAACCGCTGTGACTTTACCTGTCCCTGCTGGACTCAGGTTGACCTGTTGACATGCTTACCCCTTGAGAGGGACAGTCTCAGGTCGAGACTCTGGACTTCCCCAGAGCTGTAGGGGAAATGGCCCCTTGCTTCAGGAGATGCCAAGTGTGTCTTAGCAGTGTCCCGGTGCCTTTTTCTGGGAAAGAAGAAACCCAGGGTGGCCCCTGGCTAGTTGTTATTGGCTAATGGTTGGATACCAGTGCGTAGAAACCAGAGTGACCAACCCAGTGTTCAGTGCCCCTAAATCCCCATCTAGACAATGTGACGTCAAAAAGAAGGCTTCCAGGTCAAAGCATGAAAACAGAACGAATAGAAATCTCGAATGCACGCAGACCTGTGAATGAAGCCACCAGCAGGTGAACACACAGCAGGGTCCACACCTGTGGAATTCCTTGTATCTTGGAATCTTGCAGCCTAGCAACGTCCAACTTTGCTTCCTTTGCCCACTGAAGACGCGCTTGCTAACAAGCACCTACTGTGGGGGCGGGGAGCTGTCCGGGGTGCTGATTTGCCAAGTTATCCTCTCCCAGAGTTGGGGTCTTGAGAACTCGGTCCTGTACACAGAGGGTCCCTGCTCTTCTCTCTCTTCTGTTGTATCCCATTTCAAGCTGAATACGCCTCATGGGGCTACATTTCCAGGACACCCCTGTGCGGTGGGCTCTGTGCTATTTCTATTTTTAATTTTCAAATTTTCCCTTTTTAATTTTTAAAATTTATGTTTCTGAGAATTTCGAATTGTGAGTACTGTATTTTTATTGTTCTCCCCTCCCTCTCCTCCACCCAACTCTCCCTATGACTCTTCCCCTTTTCAGATTCATGGCCACTTAGTCTCCAATCGTAATAGTTACATACACGCGTGCATAAGTTGGTGAATACATCCTGCTAAGATCATTGAGTGTTGGTTATGTGTCTTTTGGACCAACCTCTTAGGATCGGCTACCCTATCATGGGGGCTCACCTCTGGAGAAGACTGATTCTCTTAGACGTGAGGTCCCGTACCATGTCAACTGTGCTTGTTGTCTTCTATCTTGTTGATGCAACCATATTGTTGGAATTTCCTGTATGCAGATTTCCTGCCATAGATAGAAAACACAATCTCAAGCAGACAGCCAGGTCCTCTGGCTCTTGCAACCTTCCTGACCAGTATCCTGTGGCATTCTTATAGTATAAGAGCCTTACATATAGTATAGGGCCTGTGTTGTAGATGTATCAGTTGGAGTTGGGCATCCCAGAGTCAGCTGTGGTCTGCACCTTGATCAACTGTGACTCTATAATGGTCTTTCTCTACTGCAATCTTTTAATTTTTAAAATTACATGTGTGTGTGCATGTGTGTGTGTGTGCCCATAAGCATGTATGTTCCATGGCAATGAGGGATGTCAGAGGACATTCATGAATTCTCTTTCTTTCTGCCATGTAGGTCCTAGGGATCTAACCTAGGTTGCCAGACTTAGCAATAAGCATCTTGCCTGCTGAGACACCTTGCTGGCCCTGTCTGTGCTTTTGAGGCAGAAATACCCCCATATGCAGATGGACTGGGCTGTGCCCCTGGGCACCAGTGAGCCAGGAGGCCCAGCCGGATCCTGAGCAACTCCTTTTCTCCCACCATATACAGGGAGAAACAGCAAGGATAACAAATTGGTTTTGGTAAGAGGGAGCGCAGTTCTTAATTTAACAGATTCAGCATGATATGCCATTTTCTTTTTTAATACTCTTTCTTTCTTTCTCTGACGAATACCCTCTCTCTGCCTCGGCCTCTTTGTATGCTAACGGGATTCGTTATCCACCTGACACCCACGTCCATCAGCCTACTGCACCCAGCAAACAACAGCTTCTTCTCACCCAGTTAGCAAGATGTTGCTCCAGTGTGCTGTTGATAAATGAAGTCATAAAAAGCAAGATGTATTATTTTATGTCGGAGCCTCGGCTCCGTTATTTCTGAGCAATGGCTGAGACCTGGAGGATTAGCCTCAGAAATGTTTGCGTTGTCGGGGACGGAAAATTATCACCCAGACAGAGTCTGGCATGGTGTTCATCACAGACCAGCAGGGTGTGGGGGGCTCAGAGGCTACAGAATCTCCTTCACACTACTCACAGGGTGAGGAGGGAAAGACAAGCTCCTGTGCCCGTAGCATTTGCTTAGAAGGTCCAGTGTGCCATGGCCAGGCCAGGCCAGGGCTTCCTTCTAGCCCTCTGAACTGGGGATTCTGGGTTCCTAAGGCCCTGAAAGGGCAGATAATTATCAGAAGAGACTCTGAAGCCCGGGCACCCCAGAGAGCTGCAAAAATAAACCAAGGAGGAGGGATTTGAATAGCTTTCCTCCCTTTGTACTTCTGTTTTGGACAAGCAGTGCAGAGGCAGGAGTGAGAGGGAGCTGGCAAGGTGGAAGAAAACATCAAATTAGACCTCAGAGGGGGCAGGATTGGTGGCCGCCTGGAGTGGGGTAGGACTGGGGGCGTGGAGCACCTCTGTCCCATGGCTTCCCATGTGCGGCTCCCAGGAGACAGAACTGCCCCTCCCTGCTCAGCTCACCTGAAGAGGCCCAGGGCAGGTCTGAAGGAGAGTGTCTGCTGTTGGGGGTATCAGGTGACACAGCTGGACTCAGTGTGCAATGGCTGTGTCAGGGTAAGCTTTTGCCTTTCTGTTGGCTGTCATACCACGGTGACTCTGAGGCTCTGGTGGCAGAAGCCAGCCTGCCTATTCTTAGGACACATCTCAGGACCTCTAGGGGACTCACAGCTACCCTGCAGAGCAGTAGCTATACTCCGTTTGTGTACTTATGAGGAAACTGATTAGGACAGTACATTCACTCTCCCAAGGTCAGCCAAGTACAAAGTGGCAGCCTGTTCTCAGTTGTGTGTGGTGGTGGTAGGGGAGCTTCTGATCCAGATAGACTCAGGCTCTTCAGTACCTCTTGTGCCCAGAGAGCACCCAATAAGCCTTGACCTGGCAGCCCACCTCCTGTGCTCCCCAGGAGCCCTGTGTTCTCCCCAGGTCCCTCCTGAAGTCTGAGGTACACCTCATCCCCACTCCTCCTTGTTCATTGGCAATCCTTGTGCTGTGACCCCATCTTCTTACACCTGGTGTTATAGAAAGGGTGTTCCCCCAATTTGCCTTCTTTATTAAATGCCCAGCTTTTGAGATGGCATGTAACTCAAATTCCCATCAAAGCTCTTGTTCTTATTGGGGCCCTTTGGGATCCCCCTCACATAGAAGACTCCACTATGGAAGTGTGGTGTCTTCTCACCCCACTGAGCCCCTTCCAAGGAAAGGAAACTGTTCCTTCACCAGTCAGAGAAGGTCCTCCTGCCTTGTAGCCCATGGGAAGACATCCTGCACAATGGGGACTCCTGTCGTCTGAGAACCAAACCCCAAGTGCAGTTTCAGAGGCACTGTGGAGCTTGGTTCAACTCATTGCCATGCTAGGTCTCACTGATACACTCCAGAAATCTCATGTCTGCAAACACCTCTGTAGGGGACATGGAAGTGCAAAGGACTCTGTGGTAGCCAGGCATTTCCAGAGAGGTTCTTGCTTCAAAGTTGTGGTTGTTTACATGAGTTACTATGTATCGAGCACAGGTAGCAGCACCTGACACACTTTGTGGCACAGAGTGAGGCAAAGGTCAGGGATGGCAGTTGTGAGGGTGTTGATGGCAGTGATGATGGTGGTGATGGTGATGGCTGCCATGATGGTGGTGATAATGATGGTGGCAATAGCAGTGGTGATGACAATGGCAGTGATAACAGTGGTGATGATGATGGCGGTGATGATGGTGATGATGATGATGGTGGTGATGGTGATGGCGGCAATGATGGTCGTGATGGTGGTGATGGTGGTGGTGATGGTGATGGCGACAGTTATGGTGGTGATGGTGGAGATGATGGTGGTGATGGTGGAGATGATGGTGGTGGTGACGGTGATGGCAGCGATGATGGTGGTAATAGAGATGGCGGTGATGAGGGGGGCAGAAGTGATGATGGTGACGTGATGGTGGTGGTAATAATCATGGGGAAGTTGATAGTGGTGAGATGGTAGTATGTTGATGATGGTAACTGATATCCATGAGTCCTTGAGGACTTCTCCAGATGCACCATTGCTAAGGGAACCTAAGAACCAGGAGAGGCTACTCCCAGAGGGCTATGAGAACTATGGGAGCTTCAGTTATGGCTCCCCACTATGGGGGTGACCTGGATGAATCACTTAGTTTCTTAGGGTCTTAGTTCCTGACTTGCCAGCCCAAGGCAGTCACTGTGTACTCATTCAAACTCTCCAGCAGTATGGACCCCAAAGATAAGGCCTGGGACAGCACTGCAGAGAGGGTTCATTCAGCAAGACAAGGTATTAAAAAGAAAAAATAACAGGAAGAGGTGGAAGGAGAAGTCATAAACCTCCCTCACACCCTGGCCCTCATAGACGACCTCTCACATAGAAAAGCGGGCCTTGGGGATTTAATAAGAAGTACAGGACTTCCTGTGAATTAGCAGTAGATTGTGAGCCGTGAATTACTTTTTTCCTTTGAAAAATGATGTAGCCAGGTCAAAATATTTTTGCCTTTCAAACACTTGAGTTCCTTTGTCCTGGGGGCTGACATGCCTTGGTTTCCATGCAGCCTCACAATGCAGGGAAACATCTTTTAACCGCCAGACAGCCTCCTGATAAGCCTGCAACTCCGTGTGCTTGGAGAGCCGGGAGAGAGGGGTGAGAACGCAGAGCCCTTTAGAGACTGTGTTTACACAGCAGCGAGAGTCCCTTCTCCCTCTCGGCAGACAGGCCCTGGAGCACAGGTTACACAACCCTGTACTCACGGCGGCTGCCCCCACTTATACCATACCCAGCTTGTCTGGCCTGGGGAGGACCTGACCCCCAGGTACCTCGTCTGGAGACTGGTCCAGTGCTCTGGAGTCCCAGGAGAGGCAGCCAGAGCACAAACCCGTGACAAGGTGTGTCAGGACTACAGGCTGTGTCACCTCACTGGGAATTCCACCCGAGAGCTCCCACACCGCTGCAGCCACCTCACACAACCCTGCAGACTTCAGCTGCTAGTTTCTCTGGGCCACAGAGCAATAGTCTCATTCAGCAAAAGATATCATTTACTCCAAGGAGGCCAGCCCGGACCAGACAAGCACTAGAGAAGAACCCTGTCCAACAATGTAGATAAGAGACACTCAGAAAAGACCTTTGGACGTTCCCCGGGAAGATGACAGAAGGGGCCAAGTGACCGACATTCATTCATCTCTCCATTTGGTGAAAGGAACCCCTTTTTCCATATGTCCCATCTTTCCTCGTCTCATTCCCTCCTGGCTCTTCCCAAGGGTTCTGAGCTCAGGAAAGAGCTCCTAGGCACACACTCCACCTGCTTGGAATGAGGGTCCTCGGCCCCTTGACCGGAAAAAAGAGGAAACCTAGGAGAGGTTATAAGGAGAAGGATCACGGAAGCACAGCCAGGGCTGGAAACTGGGGTCTGGTAGGCCTTGGAGGTAGAGCTGAGAGTTCCAGGGATGAAGTGGCAACACGTAAGCCCCCTTGAAGGGACCCTTTCACTTTCCTCATGGAGCCTGCAGACATGCACTACTGAGTCCTTGGGTACCCAAAGGCAGTGGACTTGGTGACATCATCAAGAACAAGGATGGTAGTGATGGTGGTGATGAGATGGTGATGTGGGAGTGACAGAAGCTGACATGGGGAACATGGGGACAGCAGGCGGGTGCTCGCAGTCCAGATGATATGAATTCATTCATCATCATCTGAACATACTGTAAGTGGAATGGACTTAATCCTTCTGTCCTGTTTCACTCTTCAGGGAGTGAGAATTCCCCCCTTGTCCTCGGGCTATGCGGGAATCCTAACTGGCTGCTCCCAGCAGAAGATGAGCGAGTGGGTGGGCCTGCTTATCATGAAATGATAGCTTTGAGAAGAGACTTGGATCCACAATTCGAAGTGTGGTTTTCTATGGAGTGAATCATGTTTGTACCTGTAGAAAGTGGAGCCTTGTTCTTGGCAACTGAAACTGTGTGCGTGTAGGATGAGGGGCAGGACAGCCTGTGTGTGAGCTGCTGGCAGAAGGGCGTGTGCAGGAGGAGAAGCCCCGGGGAGAGGTGTGAGCAATGATGGAGGAGATAGCCCTCCTTTCCTACCTAGAGCCCGGAGGGGAAGGCTGGAGGAGACTTACAGCACAAGTGAGACTCAGAGTCAGGGTCAGAGGGAGGTGACCTTGGCCTCCAGAAGCCTGGCCAATGCCGAGTTGGGGGTCATAGCAGGTGTGACCCAAGGAGGCTCAGTCGGGGGTCATAACAGGTGTGCCTGGTGTAGTCCGAGAAGGATCAGTCGCTAGGATGGGGTTGGATTGGGCATGGCTGATAGGGGCTAGTGAGGTGAGGAAGGGGAAGAGGTAATGGAGCTAGAGCTCGTGATGGAAGATGGAGTAGGAAAAGGGGGTGGTGCATGGAGGTGAAGAAGAGAGGTAGGTTACCAGAGCGTGGTTTCTCTGTAAGGGGTCTGGTGCTTGTACCACGGGACTCAAACTCTCGGGGTGACAAGGAGTCACAGTGAAAAGGGGCAGCGGTGTCAGTCAGCAGCCCCTGGAGACCCCTGGGATTCCAGCACAGGCAGAGAGAGCTCTTGCCACCAGTCACCCAGTTCATCCTGGGGGTTCAAGCAGGGAACTGAGGGTGTCACAGGGAGATGATGGTGAGATCCAGTTAATAATACAGTCCAGCCAGTGCAGCATGGGTACTGATGTCACCTACCGGAGTCCGAGGACTGGCTTCTGGTCAAGACCAAGGCCTGAGATCCCCAGGGCCCTTCATCATCACCAGCTGATACCACACGAAGCCCAGCCCCCTCCAGGGATGCCCTCCAGCCTGGCAAGGCCATACGGTCACTCTCTTCATTAAGTCCCCCATTGTTTTGGGTCCAGCCGGGGAGGCGTGCAGCCCAGTTGCTTACTCAGCAAGAACTGCCCTAGCCGCAGCCATCGTGAATGCATATTTAATAACCATTTTCTCCAGAAACCATGCCGCTTCGGAAGTTCAGAAAGAGGCCTCGCTCTTCAGTTGGTAATGAGAAGTTAATAAAAGTGGGATTTTGTACAACACTGGCCCTCTGACATCTTAATCTTTATTAAAGAGACGTAAACTTCCATGGAACTGGCAGGCCTGCCTGGCACAGCCAGACGCCAGGAGAGCGGGTAGAGGTGGCTGAGGCCGGCCATGTATGCCTAATCCACCAAGAGAGTTGGAGCCTCCTCTCCCCCGGGGGCCTCTGGTGCTTACCTCAGCAGACGTGAATTAATTACCTACCAATCCCCAGAGCCCCAGAGAGGCCTGTGTGCTCAGCGTGGTTCACACTAGAAAGGGACGGATAAACAAGTCGAGGTGTTGCTGTCGGGATTTGTTGGGTGGGGGTGGGGGGGGTACTGGAGTGCCGTAAAAGGGCCAAGATCTTGCAGTTCCAAGGCCTTCCTTTACCATGGCTGGCATAACCCACCAGATTTCTTAATACCAGGCTCTGCCATACATGTCTGTCATGAGTGTGACAGGGTGCACTGTGGAGCCTGACTGTCACCCTTCAGATTGTATCTGTGTTCATGTGTTCATGTGTGTCTGGGTACATGTGCAGGCATGACATGACGTGTGCATGACTGTGCATATGGAAACCAGAGGTCAACACTGAGTATCCTTCCTCCACCTCTCTCCACCTTATTTTTTTTAAAGAGTTTTGTTTTGTGTGTGTATGCATGTTTTGTCTGCATGTGTGTAGGTGCACCACATGTGTCTGGTACCCTCAAAGGCCAGAAGAGGGCACTGGATGCCCTGGAACTGGAGTCATGGATATCTGTAAGCTGCCAACTTGCTGGAAACCAAATTCAGTTCCACCGCAAAATCAGCCAATGCTCTTAACTGGCAAAGCCGTCTCTCCAGTCTTCTACCTCCTCTCTTGAAACAAGGCTTGCCCCTGCACCCAGAGCTGGACAAGTCAGCTAGCCTTCAGGCCAGCAAGCCTCAGGAACCTGCCTGTCTCCACCTCCCCAGTGCTGGGATTGTTGCTACACACAGACACACCTGCTTTTAAAGTGAGCAGTTTTGGGGTACCCAGCATGTTCATCATGGTAGATGCTCTGTCTTAGAATGCTTTCGCGAGCCCAGCAGAGACATCGTGCCCATCCAGTGATAAGATCTCAGTGTTCTCCTTCCTCTAGTCCCCAGTTGTGATGTATCTGTAGTCAGTCTCTGGATTTTCCCATAATGGACATTGGATAAAAATAAACTATGTTCTAGGTCCGTGTGTGCGGTGGCATGCAGATGGGCTCCACACCTGGCCTATCTGTTCATTCATGTTGCTGTGACTAGTGCTCCATGAACCATGTGTGTGTGCGATGATCCATTTGACTTGTGCTTTCTATTTTTGGGGGGGACACAGTGCAGAGTGACTCTTAGCTCTGCTGCCAACTTGAAGGACCTGATCTGTGTCAGACAGCCCAGGGCAATCCATCCTCAGGTGCCACGTTCTTTGATTCCCCCACCCCAGCTGCTCATGATGAGAGGGGCTGGATCTGTATAATAGTCCTTGAGCACTGCTGTTTTCCTGCCCTTGTTAGCTGGAGCTGAGCAAAGCCAGCATCTCTATGCTGGGAGGAGATTCTCTATCCACAATTCAGCATGAGATCAATGGGTAAATGTGTTGGAGACTGAGGACTGACTGGTCCAGCCGTAGAGAACCTCACTCAGCCCACCATGAAGGATGGTGGGGCAGACTCCGAGCCAAGTTAGACGCATGACTCGGGCAGCTATGGTTCCACCCAACTTCTGAAGGAGAAGCCTATGTATCTGAGCTAGAGATAAGAATTGGTGGTGACCTCAGGACTCCTCAAGG